AGAACAAATTAGACTACATCATAAGACAATGCTTGATTATTTAGCGACTAAAATTAAATTGATCTAAGTTACAAAACATCGCAACTTTAGGCTTTTGGACATGAACTGAATATGTGATGACTAGATTTATAAAAAAACCAATTTATGTTTATATTCAACACCTCACCTTCATTATTCTTTAGAGTAAACGTAACACACGAGAACTACACACTCGCTACAAGAATTCTTATTCTTGTGATACATTTAAAATGGTGAAACGGCTTTTATAGAGTCGGCTGGACGAACAAGTTGAAACACGAATATGGTCGGATTTTATTTTTATGTGAAAATTAACATTCCTTAGACATATCCTTTTTTTTTTGGGTGGTATTAGTCGTTAGTAATTCCAACTATTCGGGTAGAAAAAAAATCTCTGTACCGTCACGTTCTTATTTGTAAATATTGGATGCAATTTTTTTTTTTATATAGCAAAATTGGTTTTAAGCATATTTAATGTAGAACACCATCTGAAAACATCTGCAAGATGCAAACGAGTCTTGTGAATGTGAGAAAGACTCTGTTTTCCGCGCTTAGCCTCTCATTTGGGCCGTTGTGCGTATGATGCAAACGAGTCTTATGAAGTATCCACACATAGTGACAGTAGTTTAAGGTTCTATTCGTAACGAACGTTATAATTTCTGGTTTAATCAAATCGCCCGTGTGATCGTGACACAGGCGCATGACATATTTTCGCATCATTATGCATTGTGGATATAATAATTACTACTTTTGTAGGTTTTGCAACATAAGACAATAACGTACAAGGTGTGTGAAATCCAAATTTTGTGGAATACATTGGACTACCTCTCGCCGTACGAAACTCCAAAGGAACTTCCCTTTTATTATTTCTGACAGTACCAACCATCGTAGTTTTGTTGAAAAATGTTCTTATCGATCTCACTACAGCAACTAGGTATGTCACTTATCGAGGGTCAGTCAAGTATTTAGGCAATAAGTTACAAACGCATAAGGTCTGCTTATTGTCTCATTTACCCACAAAAGCGGCTTTCGTAGCTAGCGGTCTTCCAATACATCGAAAAAAGCCTATGCGAGTGTAATCAGCTCATCGGGTATCGTAGACATAGGTATACCATATGCATATTTCAAAATTTATAAAGCTTAAGAAAATAATAATAGCATCTATAATTTTTTTAATGAAATTATAAATGTACGATGCAAAGCAGTTAACATTAAAGCTATAATTTTTTGCGTGTTTCATTACAAAGTTTCAAGTCCGTCAAAATGACGGGTTCCGTAAACCTAGTGTTAATAATATTTGTTCGTGTTCTTCAGTAAACACTTTATTAATATCATACCTCGGCACGAGTGATATATTAGGAGTACAAATAAGTTTCCGCCGTTTTTTAACACAAATTAAATATTTATTATAGAAGAACGGTAATATAGATTTATATAAAATATTGCCCATCACTTGCAACCACTTTTTCCCATCTCTCAGGCAGCATTCGAATTCCACGTCTGAAGAACTCCTTGTCTTTTGAGGCTATCCACGAATCAACCCAATTTTTGGTATCCTCATAAGATGTAAACCGCTGCGTCGTCAGAGCATGTGCCATGGACCGAAACAGGTGATAATCGGACGGTGCAATGTCTGGTGAATACGGCGGGTGGGGTAACACTTCCCAATCAAGTGTTTCCAAGTACTTTTTTACGGGAGCCGCAACATGTGGACGAGCATTGTCATGCAGAAGAATAATTTTTTCGTGTCTAGAATAGTATTGAGGGCGTTTTTCTTTCAGAGCTCGGCTCAATCTCATCAATTGTGTTCGATAGAGGGCTCCAGTAATTGTTTCGCTCGGATTAAGCAACTCATAATACACTACACCTAGCTGATCCCACCAAATACACAGCATAAGTTTTTTTCCGTGAATATTCGGTTTTGCTGTTGATGTTGACGCGTGGCCAGGTAATCCCCATGATTTTTTTCTTTTTGGATTGTCATAATGTATCCACTTCTCATCACCAGTTACGATACGATGTAAAAAACCCTTTTTTTTATGTCTAGCTAGCAGCATTTCACTTAAGCATAATCGGCGTTCAATATCTCTCGGCTTTAATTCGTACGGAACCCAATTTCCTTGTTTATGAATCATTCCTAATGATTTTAAACGATGTGAGACTGCTTGCTGAGTGACTTCTAATGTTAGAGCAAGTTCTTTTTGTGTTTGAGATGAATCCTCCTCCAATAATTCCTCCAATTCTGCATCCTCCTAAATTTTTGGCCTTCCACTGCGATCTTTGTCTTCTACGTCGAAATCACCGTTTTTAAACTTTTGAAACCACTCTCGACACGTTCTCTCACTCAAAGCACCCTCACCATATGCTTCTACGAGCAATTGATGCGCCTTAGCAGCAGATTTCTTTAAATTAAAGAAGTAAATTAATATTTCCCGCAAATGACGCTTATTTGGCTCAAATTTTGACATTTTCAAGTTATAAAAATTATATTTTACCAATATCAAATCAATAATATTAATAGGTTATGTTGGTCTTGAATGTCGAAACTATTTTTTAAGCCGGTTATCATCTGCGAAAGCTAACCGAAACTCCGTGCCGCGCCATCCACAATAAAACGGCGGAAACTTATTTGTACTCCTAATATTATCACCATGTTCACGTTTTTTTAACGTAACGGTGCAATGTAGGTTAGAGGATTTTACTGGTTTTTGCCGCCGTCCTAAAGGAGCTACCATTTTCTATCATTAGTAATGCTGACTTCATACCGTCTTTTCTGTGTTTTCCAATTTTTTTTACTTATTTCTTGGCCTGACATCCTAAAACAATCAAAAATATTATTGATTTTCAGCATAACACTATCATTGAACAGTGAACCAGGTTCACTATAAACCTGGTACTATGTCAATCTGGTTCACTGTTCAGTACACACACTATTCAACTTATTAAAAAAAAAATAGGTTGTAGGCTGCATTGTCACTAAGCATAAAGCTCATAAAACGTCTAAAACTACAACAATATTTACACTGTAAAGCTTTTGGTGCTAGGATTAATAACAGAATATATAAAAATCGAGACACTTACGTGAGAATTGTATGTTTTTTTTTGGCGAGAAACAAACAAAGCACTGTCACACGTCACGCTCAAGCCGTGGCCACCGGCTGTCTAAGGGAGAGAGGAAGGGTGCCTACGAGAAAAGTTTTAACAATAAACTAAATACTTTATTTTGGAATTCAACCTTTCCCTTCATACTTAACTGGGCTTAGGATCAGCAGAATTATTTTATTAATACATGGAACTGTAGAAATCAAAGAAAATAATTAGGGCGTATTTAGAAAGTTTGAATCAGCTATTTACAATGATTAAGATGAGAATTAAGTACACCCAACTACATAGAAGGGTACTCGTACCAGGATCCATATTAAATTTTTGCAATTTCCGGTGTCTTTTTGCCCCCCGAGGTAAGATATTTGCTACTTATTGAACCTGGTGAGGTAAAGGGATTATAAAACTTGGTCTCCTTGTTGTCATTGAGGAAAACCAGAGTACTTGATACAATAAGTTTGACTACTAAGTACAACCAACCTTCGTTGCATATGACAATGCAAACATTTTTGTATCACACCCTTTGATTAGATTTGTATAGTTCTATATTGTAAATCTTTGATTGGAACTTTTGATCTTAAAATTTGACTTTATATTCTAAAAATATTCTCTCCTTAAATTATGCTACAGCAGGAACCGCAAGAGCAAAAGTGATGTCAGTAGTGTTATAACATGCACAAAAAAAAACTTATGTTATAAAAATAGCGATGACATGCAATGGATGACGCTTCTCGCCAATAATGCCTTCAGACTTTAATTTCAAAGGAAGGACTGTACAATATATACAATTGATTTTTTGGGGTAGTTACCTGCCCTTAAATCTCTTTCCGCCGATCCATTTCTTCAAGTTTGGGAATAAGAAATAGTCGCACGGGGCTCAATCGGGAGAATAGGCCGGATTATGGAGCAATACGTAGCCTAATTCATGGATTTTTGCCATGGAAACTACACATGTTTGCACCCGTGCATTGTCCTTGTGGAAAAGGACTTTTTCTTGGTCAAGTGCGGTGGCTCTTTTTTTTTCAATGCCTTATCGAATCGACCCAATAAGTTGCTGTAATATTCGCCATTGATTGTTTTCCTTTTTGAAGGTAGTCAATGTGGATAACACCGCGTGTATCCCAAAAAAAAAACAGTCGCCATGACTTTCTTGGCTAACAAACCTATCTTTGCCTTCTTTGGCACCGATTTACTCCGAGAATCGGCGCAATTTTTAATTTTTTTTTTACAACAACAGATTTTTTATTTTGATTTCTTTTGAACTCAAATCCATTGTTATGCAACATTTTTCTAAATGTTTCTCTACATGCAGTGAATTCATTTGACTCTCTCAGTTCGGCAAGCAAACTTCTCAGCGTAGGCACTTTTGACACTATAAAACTCATTAATTTTATTACGTATCGTGGGTATAATAATAATAATAAGTTTATTTCAAAATAAATGTTACAAGCATTTTTAAATATAGGTGAAACCCTGCTCCCTAAATAGGTATATCGAAGTCATTTACGTTAGCGGAGGCGCTTCTTCCCTGGCGTGCTCCATTCTCCTTTGTTAACAGCACCCTCTTTTTTTTAATTTCTTACACATACTTCTGGAAAATAAGAAAAAAAAAAATAATGTAATATTGGATTTCACAAGAATTTATCAAATCAGTAACATTTGTAGTAATTGATATGTAGGTACTTGTCATACGTAGGTCACACTGTAAGTTTTGCGTAACTTAAAAAAACAACATGTGTTGGATCGTTATAAAAATAATTAAAATAAGTTGTAAGACTATTGCGCTGCGTGCGGTGTTCAACGACCAACTGCCGCCGGCCTCCCGTTGCCCAACCGCTACCGGGGTATCCGTAGCTTAGCAACGAGCCAACAGCGCGAGGCTACCGGCGGTCGTCACGGAGCGTAGCAGCATCCCAGCGCGGAATTTCCACTACAACGGTACACACCTCACAGATGTCACGAGCAACTTCGTCACATGGCGGTCGGCTGAGGGTATCTGCAATAAGGTTAGCCTTACCCGGAGTGTAATCTACTTTGAGGTCAAAGTATTGCAGCTTCATAGCCCAGCGGACCAGTCTACCCGTGGGCGACTTGAGAGTGAGCAGCCATTTGAGTGGCTGATGATCGCTAGCGACGTGCACCGGATGTCCATCAATATAACCGCGGAACTTCTCAACGGCCCAAACAACAGCGAGTGCCTCTCGCTCGGTTGTCGAGTAGTTTCGTTCGGCGTGAGTTAGAAGACGACTGGCGTACTCAATAGGACACTCTTCGTGTTGAGACTCCCCCTGGAGTAGAACAGCCCCCAAGGCATAATTGCTAGCGTCGGTCCTGAGAACAAAAGGAAGACTGTAGTCTGGCTGCGTAAGTATCGGAGCGGACGTAAGTAATTTCTTAAGTTCCGTGAACGCAGCGGCTTGGTTTTCCTCCCATATCCATGGCTGGGTCTTCTTTGTCAGCAATGTCAACGGCTGCGCGACTTTAGAAAAGTTCGGAACAAATTTCCTAAACCAAGAAGCAGTTTGTAGGAAACTTTTCAGGTGCTTCAAGTTACGTGGCTCCTTCATCTCCAAGATGGCAGCGACCTTGACTGGATCTGGTGATACTCCCTCGGGTGTAATAACGTGCCCAAGATACTTGACACTGTCACGCGCAAACATGCACTTATCGCGATTACCGTGCAGGCAGAAAGTACGGAGACGTTCAAATACGGCACGAAGATCCCGAAGATGTTGTTCGTAGCTGGCTGAGATTATTATGAGGTCATCTATGTATCCTAGAATGGTAACGTCCTTGAGAGTTGCTCCCGACCGGAATCTATCGATGAGCCGCTGGAAGGTGGCTGGTGCGTTGCGTAAACCAAAAGGCATGCGCCTAAATCTATGCATTCCGAAGGGAGTCACGAACGCAGTTTTATCCTGATCCTCCATACGAACGGAAACCTGCCAGTAACCGGACCGCAGGTCCACAGTACTCATGTAACAACTTTTACCTGTGTACTGCAGCAAATCGTCGATAACAGGCAACGGATAAGCGTCACTCTTTGTAATAGCATTCAGTCTCCTATAATCTACGCAAAATCTATATGACCCATCCTTCTTAGGTACTAAAAGAGCTGGCGCCGCCCATGCAGACTCGCATTCCTCAATAATACCTTGTTGGATCATATGCTCTAATTGTTCTTGCATAACAGCTTTCTTGGCGGGCGTAAGTCGGTACGGAGGTACAGCAATAGGCGCATGCTCCCCAGTCTCTATACAATGCTCCGCAAAAGGCGTAGGCCCTCCCCCTTCTCCAAAGATGTCTTCATATTCTTGGAGTAGCTCACTGAGTCTAATCTTCTCTGGTGGAGATAGCATGGAACCCTCATCTGGCCGCAAAACATTTGTGGCTGCACATCCAATTACGTCACCACATGACTCAAAACACAAGGGGTGAATGACCTCGGGGCGATCAGCTGTGAACCAGTAATTCTCAGGTAAGTTAAGGACTATACGGGCTTTACGCAAAAAATCAATGCCTAACAATGTTTCATTATTACTCGCGTCGGGGAAAATAACAAAAGTGGTAGGTATTAGCATACCTGCAAGTTGAACATTTACATCCACGAGCTTTACATTTACATCGCGAATTAAACCATCAGCAAGTTTAACTGTCAACAAATCCTCTCAAAAGAGATGCTGTTGCTGTTGAAGTAAAAAATAAAGAGTGCTACCAGCAACACAACATTTAGCACCGGTATCTATTAAACCCGTACCACGAAACCCATATACCTCAATATTTAAGGGGGGCGATACATGTAATCGCCTTAATTTTTACCGTTTTTTAAGGACTTTTTAAACTGGGAAGGAATGACTGAATCTTTTTGAACTTTTTTAGGGTTATTTATTATATATTAAAATACACAAAAAAAATTTTTTTTTATTTTTTTTTTAAAAGGCTGCCGTAAAAATAAATCTGCCAAGACCCTCTCGGAAAAAGCCATCAATTTGCGGGCGTTCTCACTTTTCGTACGGTGATCTGAAATCAAAAAAATTAGTTTGTACGTGTTCATAAAACATATATCTTCTAGTTAAGCCTAAAAAAAAATTAAAAAAGTCACAAAATCGTAAATTGGCACACCTCAGAAAAAAAAAGTTCGATTTTTCACCTTTTTTTCAATGGTTTTTTTGGTAAAAGGGTTAATTTTTGAAAATTTTTTTGGAATGTTTGAGGTTTAACTAGAAGCTATTACTGTAAAGTAGATGTGTGCAAAATTTCATTGGAATCGGTTGAGAACTTTTTGAGTTATCCCACCCGCAAATTTCAAAAATGTCGTTTTGAGAAAAACGCGTTTAAAGTTTTGACACATAGAAACTGTATGATTAAAGTGGCTTACCGATTAATCAGCGATTCCAGGGCCATATAGAAGTCCTTCGGTACGTTCAAGGAACTCGTTTTTCTTTGCAAGTTCCTGCAGACATGCTTGACGAGCTTGTTTGGTGGTCAAAGAGCTGCGGCGATTTTCTCGATTCACTCTTTGCTCATCGATTTTCTCTTTATATGACATGGATTGGCGGCCAATAACAATTTGCAGTGAGTTCATAAGTTGTAAGATAAAATTTAACCCATCATTGAACAACCCTGCAGATATAAAAGCACTAATCTCTACGATCTTCCGTCCAGAGTTGAGATGTTTTGGACAGAGGCGCCAGACAGTAGAATTATAACTTTCATTTGCATTCTGAGTGTGACCTCCTAAACATCTTTCAAGCAAGTCATCCCGAGATAAATCGTCAAAAATTGGCTTAATATGAGGTTGAACATCAGGATGTAATGGAGTTGGATGTTTAATTTCTTTGGGATTTTCTCCTAAAGCTTCAGCTTTGCGCCACTTGCACCAGCTATCGGAACCAGATGGACAGTACTCGTGACTTGGTTTATCATCTGTAGAGCACATGTGATAGTAAGTGGCCATGATCGCATCTTTCATGTCTTTTACACTATTAACGTTTCTTCGAATGGCCAATCCGTAATATAACGATAATTTTTTAATTAATGCTTCCGTCAATTTACCTCTTCCGCCCAGATGATTGTCTCTTTTAGTTTTTCGGAGACGAGTACCCATCCTCTTCTGAACATGGCCGATGCATTCACTTTTCACAACTCGAAATTCGTCGCCATACGGATTCAAATCAAGAATTCCTTTGAAGGTTTTTGAATCTCCATCTCCTATGTAGTTTCCGTATTTGACACCAAATAATTCTTCAGATCGTGAAAACATTTCCTTTACAGCTTCGACTTCCATAGCACCAGAAGAACCTTTATGGTTTTCTTGGCAGTTTGGTTCATGTTCTTCGAACCACTCACGATATTCTTCAGTGTTAGTTTTATTTTTCCAACGAGCACAACCTGCACAGAAACTACTTTTAACGGCTAAATCAATTACTTTACCACAGTAATATCCAATAAGGGTTGTGACCCCATACATCGATTTAAAACCCCGCTTTTTCCATGTACCGTCCCCAGAAACTTTTAAATTTAAGATTGGCCGCTCATGCTTTTCGTTCTCACGTTTTTCTTCGCCGACAGCTTTTACACAAGAAGCTTGAAATAACGACTGTGTAGTGGTGTGTAACAGCGAGATGATAGCATTGTATGTACTTTCAGATATACCATTACAAATGTCCATCATATTACAAAATAAGTTAATTCCCTCTCTAGCAACACCTAAAAGACGCATGACTAACACTATTCTGCGATTTACTTCAAATCCATTATTGATTAATGGTCCAGAAGAAATGTTTTTGAGGCCACACTTGCATATCACGACGATTTTAAAACCTAAACCTCTGTTAGCACTTTCTTCAAATTTCACAGGTAATTTACAATCACGACATATCAAAATCTCTGACAATGCTGTAAACACGGTAAAAAACTCGATAAATCGATAGCCTAGAAGCGGACTGTAATGATAATTTTCTTCGTCAGCGTTAGAGAGTTTTCTCGCACTTGTACTTTGCGCTTCCGTATTTTCTTCATTTTTATTAGAGTGTTGATTTCCATAAAACTGTCTTTTTCGTGGTTTCGCACTACGGGTTGATATATTTCTTTTATTTTTAGGATAAGACTGCATTTTTATTTAACTTATTAATTTACTCCGCACAAAACGAATGCCAGAAGTATACTGAACTGAACTAAAATAACGGCAACACTGGTTTTAAGTATTTTATGTTAACTATATAGTCCTTGTATACCTAGAATTAAAGAAAAAAAAGGTTTTTGGAACATCTGCTGACCCGGTTCGATCATACAATAGACCCCAAGAATCTACATTCGAAACGCAGGTAGCGAGAATCGAGCGCTCAGTTACAGAGTACAATAGCACTCAAGCGTCGAGTTGAGGCGTGGCACTTAAATGAGTTTTTAATGTATAAATAATGATAATTTTGTTTTGAATATTTACAGGCATATTTTTGAGATGTTATTCTAACGATTTATGAAAAAAAGAAAAAATCGATTTTTTTTTTTTTTACATGTATCGCCCCCCTTAATAGAGGTCGGCGCGTTGAGTCGTCATTCCGCATAAAACACAACGGTGAAACGCAAAAATCCGCTCGCGATACATTTAAACATTGATTACATAAATTATCAGTTTTAACATTGCTACCTACATTAACATTGTCTCTCGGAGACACATTTATATTCTCTGACATATAGTTACAATCACACAACTTATTACTACAACATTGGGTACTATTATGAAAAGTGTCTCTCAGAGACAGTTTTATATTCTTTGACCTCTGAGTGTGACATCTATCTAAACACAAATTTTCATTCTTTGACGCCTGACGACAGTCACACGATTTAAAGTTACCTACATTACAATTACTACTTAGACTATTATATTCAGAAAGAGAGTAAAATGTTTTAGACTTACAGTTGTCACAATTGGATCTAATGGTACCTTTGGTACCGCAACCGTAACACTTTAAATCACTTTTTTTCTTATCACAAGCACTTCTATCATGTCCTGATTTACGACAGTAGACACAAAATTTACCTCGTTTGGTAGAACTTACTACCGGAGCACTGGACGTAGAAGGCGCGAAGTCGGCACTATCCGGCTGCGGGGCCGGCGCCGTAGGGGCGGGACGCTGCGCTTCGGCGCGTGGACGCGCACCGGGCGGCGCGCGCGCTGCGTGCGGCGGTGCACGCTGCTCGCGCACAGGCGTTATGGCGCGCGCTGTTGGCGCGCAATGCGCACGACTTATGGAATCGCGCGCTGACTGCGTAACAGTTGACGACGACTTCGACGACAGTTTATTTGCTTCACTTAACGCTTCTTCGACATTACGGGCTTTATATATAAGTTCTTCTATCGTAGTTACACTCTCTCTCGTAACTCTTTTCCTTATAGATCTGTTTAGTAACCCATATATAATGTCTAGCTGTACTCGTTCTTCTAATACATAAGGTAACGTAGTGAGAAGGGCGCGCAGGCGGGCCACGAACACTTCTGTGCGATCAGCATCTTGCTCGGACTTAAATATGTCACGGAACACTTTGTGTGGTGGCCGCGGCGTACCATACATAGCACGCAAGCGACTCATAGCTTCTTCCCACGAAGTTACTGAGGTTCGAATACCTCTAAACCACACGGCAGCATCTCCCTCTAGGAGCATCGGCAAGCCCTTTAGTGCTATAGTGTCAGGTATACTCATACACTCTTTATAAATTTCGATATTATCGATGAATGCCTCCAAGACCGCAAGGTCGGCGTCAGTGTCGCCGCGGAACCGGGCCGTGCATTTGGCGAAGTTACCCAATATCGCAGGTGATGTGTGTGGTGAAGGTGGTGGCGAAACGAAACCAGCAGCGCCGCCTGACTGTGCTGCTAGGATAGCTGCTACGAGTTGACTATTGAACTCCGCTTGAACCTTTGCGAAAGCGGTCAATAGTGACGCGAACTGGTTCTCACTGGAGAAGGAAACGTCTGCCACTTCTTCACTGTCACTAATCTGACTTTTACGACGGGCATTATTACGCGGCATTGTCAACAATATGATTTATAAACAGTTTCACTATAAAACAATACAGGCAGTCCTCGTACTTACGGCATGTTAGGTTCTCGAAATACGCGACGTAAATCGAAACGACGTAAGTCGAGACATATTTTTTCATATGTTTACATGTAAAACTCAAGGGTTAGGTTCCACACGGACTCGAAATAATAAAAAAAACTGCATTTATAACAAAGGACGTACTTTATTATTAAAAGTAAGTTCTTAAAATAATTATATATTATGCACTTATGAAATTGCTAGTTATTTTTGGTATTTGTGTGTTATTAATTTTAATAATAATTATAAAACTTATACATATGTAATGATAAATAATAAATTAAACTTTTGGCTTAAAGAAACTATCAATTCTAGATTGCTTGGCTTCTTTCTTCTTGCTATCATACAGATCTTGGTAACAGTGATAGGCTGCACAAATTTTGTTATTAACGTTAAAACTTCTCTCAAAATTAGGATCATTTTCTTCAAAAATTTTCATGGCATTCTTCAAATTTGCAAAGGCTACGGAAAGTTTTTTTAGTGTAAGTTCTTTTTCAGAGTCACTAATAGAAGAAGCTATTTCTTGTGACTCGAGTGCTTCCTTTTGTACTTGTGCCTCCAATTCAATAAGATCTTCATCAGTCAGTTCTTGCGAATGTGAGCTTAACAGATCATCAATATCATCAGTAGTAACTGCAATGTCAGGCAAACGGTTAGCCAAATGAACAATGTCAGTTGTGATCTCATCGACATTTGGTTGATCTGTAGATGTAGAACTTTCAGATGGCTCAAAAAAAAATGGGCATAACTTTTTCCACACTCCTTTTAAATTGTTGGGTGTCACCTCATCCCATGAAGTAGCAATATTTTTTACGCATTGCAGGATATTATAACTTTTCCAAAAATCTCTCAGCTCCATGCCATCATTTTCATTAGCCTTTACAGCCTGTGAAAAAGTTCTCCTGAGATAATAGGCCTTAAAAGACGCGATAACTCCTTGATCCATCGGCTGTAACAACGAAGTGGTGTTGGGAGGCAGGAACACGACTTTGATTTGAGGATCAATATCGGCAATACGCACAGGATGGCCGGGAGCATTGTCCAAAATAAGTAAAGCTTTATAAGCCAAATTATTGTTTGAACAGTACTGTTTCACTTCAGGTATAAAATGCTTAGTAAACCATTCTTCAAAAAGTATTGATGTAACCCATGCCTTTGGATTAGCCTTCCATATAACTGGAAGAGTACTCTTGACGTAATTTTTGAGAGCTCGAGGATTTTCAGACCTATAAACTAAAAGGGGTTTCAATTTAAGATCACCTTCAACATTCGAACCCAATAACAACGTCAAACGATCTTTAGCCGCTTTAAATCCAGGCATAGACTTTTCTTCCTGTGATATAAAAGTACGAGAGGGCATTTTTTTCCAAAACAAACCAGTTTCGTCCACGTTAAAAATTTGTTTAGGCGAATAGTCTCCACTTTCGATAATTTCCTTTAATATTCCAGGAAAACTCTGAGCAGCCACATGATCGGCACTAGCAGCTTCTCCTTGCACTCGAATGTTATGTAACGAATATCTCGTTTTAAAGCGCATGAACCATCCGCGACTGGCAGAAAAACATTTTGTTTCGTCACTATTATTCTCGCCACGTTTATTTTGCAGTGTGTTGATGATACTCAGCGCCTTATTTTGTATAATATCCAAACTTAGAGGAACCCGTCGCTGAGTTTGATCTTGAATCCAATTGTACAATAGTTTTTCCATTTCATAAATTAAAGCATTCCTTTTGCGTATAATAGTGCTGTTTGAAGAGACGGAAGGAAGAGCTGTTAAGAGTTTTTCTTTATCTTTCAATATTGTTTGTACCGTCGTGCGTGATAAATTAAGTTCTCGTCCAATAGATGAAGTCGAATAACCGCGATCTTTGAGTTTTAAAATCTTAGATTTAACCTCCATTGTAATTGACTTTCTTACTCTCTTCTTCACTTTATTATTACTGTCTTGTTTAGGTGGCATTGTTTAAAATTCACTTAAATATGTATGTAAACACAAAAACTGTCAAAGATGCAAAAAAACTAATTTATTACGTCTTGATTGTCCGTTGTCCCTGAATGTACTAAACAAAATCAGCGACATTTGCGGGGTATTCCCCGCACGAGACGACACCGCGCCCCGCCCGCGCCCCTCACGGACATTGACCTTGCGACAAGTGAATTCTCCGATATGCCGGAAATCGAAACAAATGACGTATGCTTGAGGAATAGTGTCAAAACATTGTTTGACGTAACTTGAAACGACGTAAATCGAAACGACGTAAGTCGAGGACCGCCTGTACGCACTACGCACTTGGTAACAGTTCACTTTTCAAAACCGCTGTAAGACAAAGACCTTATAGACACGAACATGTACGATAAGTATTTTGTCGACGTGAGTTCGTTACGAATAATCACTGTTATTGCCCGAGTTGGGAAACCAATTGTTGGATCGTTATAAAAATAATTAAAATAAGTTGTAAGACTATTGCGCTGCGTGCGGTGTTCAACGACCAACTGCCGCCGGCCTCCCGTTGCCCAACCGCTACCGGGGTATCCGTTGCTTAGCAACGAGCCAACAGCGCGAGGCTACCGGCGGGTGCGCCGCTATATATATATATATATATATATATATATATATATCTACTTACGTAGTGTATTACACATGTTATAACCAAAATATTATGTTTATTGCTTTTCAAAATACTCTCCTTCTCCTTTACACTTTAAACATTTTTTCATGCGATCGAACCATTTTTTAAAACAGGAGGACCACAGATCTGAAGGCATTTTCTACGTGCTGATTGAACGTTATCACTGCCTCTTCGAAGTTGGTAAAAGTGAAACCTCTCATCAAATCACATTTCTGTATTTTCAGAATTTTGAATGTTATATTTCAAAAAATATAACATTCAAAATTCAAATAGTTCCGATTAGCTAGAAGTGCACAACTTTTAGTGTGCCCCATGTATTGAACATTCTTTCTAGATATACTTTTTCATGATGGATGAAGTCATCATTGTCAATCCTCTGCAGATCTTGAATTAAATCCTTAATCTTTTGTTTAGGTTCATCGTGTTAACCATCTGGAAACAAATAAATGAAATGCATGTCACAATCGTCTAAAAGCTGCTCCATTTCACATGTAAATATTCTTATGACTGCTAAAAAGACAGTAAAGTGTCTTTATCAAATTTTTTTTTATCTTTTTTATTTAGAGGCTTTTATCCTATAAGGATATGTCAGCCTCATCATACCCTAATTTTATAAAATACAGGGTGGCCCATAAGTCCTTAGTAATGAAAAAAATTAATTAAAATAAAACTACACTATGAATAATATTTTTATTTGTAAATATAGCTAGAAAAACGGGAATTATTTTTTGTAAATAACGTCGTCCAAATGTAATCCGTTACAGTCACGGCACTCTTGCAAACGCCTTCTGAAATTGTCGATGACTGCGCGGCACGTCACTGCTGAAATGCTTGCCATTTCTCTGCGGATGTTTTCTTTTAGGCCATTAATTGACCGCGGGTTAGAGTCGTACACTTTAGCCTTAAGGTAGCCCCACAAAAAAAATCCATTGGAGTCAGATCCGGGCTACGTGGTGGCCAGGAAATGTCTCCTCTCTTAGAGATAACTTTGTTTGGAAAAAGTTGACGGATAACGGGCATAGCAGTATTGGAGGCGTGGGAAGTTGCTCCATCCTGTTGAAACCATGTTCGGGCATTAAAGCCTGGAAAGTTTTGCAATTTTTGTGTGAAAAACTCCTCGATCATAGCCACATATCGCTCCGAAGTAACAGTAACAGCACGCCCTCTGCCGTCCTCAAAAAAGTAAGGCCCTATGATGCCATGGGCTGACATAGCGGCCCAAACTGTAACTTTAAGGCTATGTAAGGGCTTCTGGTGCTTAAGTTTTGGATTAATCGGGCTCCAATAGCGGCAATTTTGTTTACTAACATGTCCGTTAATGTGGAAGTGTGCCTCATCAGAGAACATTATGTTATTGAACGAAGTAAACCGATTAAACATTTCATTAGCATAATTCACTCTCTGAATAGCATCAGTTTCTTTTAATTCTTGCACCAACTGAATTTTGTAAGGGTGCATAAGTAAATCTTTCTTAAAAATCCGTTGTAACGATGTCCTGGATACGTTTAATGCACTGGAACGCTTACGAGGTGACTGTGTAGGATTTTCACGAATAGATTGTGCCATTGTGTCGATGTTTTGTTCCGTACGTGATGTCCTTGGGCGACCCAACCGCGGTTTATTTAACGTCGAACCGGTCTCCTCGAACTTAGCAACCCAATTCTTAATCGTTTAGAGAGCTGGGGTGTCATCAAAGTTGTGTAAACCTTTGTGTTCTCGAAATTTACGCCTCGCAACGGTTGCCGAATTGTTGTTTTGATAAAACTCGCGCACACAAAACGCACGGTCCGCTCCGGTGAAACGCTCCATCGCGACTAAATTCCCAGAAACCGAAGTTACTGCCCCCGCTTCCCCTGCACCGCTCACGCGAGCCGTTTTCGTTTAATTCAAATTTTACTTTTCTAAGGACTTTTGGGCCACCCTGTACCTCACATACTTAAAACATTGATACATAAATAAATAATACATAATATCTTAGTAGTCTATTTTGATAAAGGGAATTATTGATATAAAAATATAGTAATTAAAGATTTTACCATTCCGGAATGTGGTTCTGCGAGTATATTTGAAAATAAATCAATCTCCTGTCTATTGAGACTATATTTCTGTATCAATACTTCCCTTTGTGTTTTGTATTTCGTACATTCAGATATCATATGATGAACATCATCCAATGTGTTACAAACATCACAATTCGGATTATTATCTTTTTTTCATAAGAAAAGCGAATTTTGCATTTGGAAAATATCCTGAGCGTAATCTAAGAGTTGTAACAACGAAATTTCTATTTGCTTTTAGGTT